ATCTTATACTATCCTTAACATTTTAGTCCTAGAAGCCTACTTAGGCTTCTATAGAATTTATGTTTTGTGTTTTAATTTATTTATTTTCTCTTTATTTTTATAATTATGTGCGACATTGTTTATATTCAATTATTTCTCTTTGCGGTACATTTGCATGATATTTTTATGGCCACTTAAGTGTTTACAGTTATAAAAAGTGCCGTTTACCCTAGATATTTTCTTTGAATATACCAAATAATAATATTTTTAAAAATGCCTTGAAGAGTACCGCTATCTTTCGACCACATGGGTCTAAATTCGTTTGTGTTTAATATGATCCCAAAAATCAATAATTCAAACTAGTTAGTTTTTTCGCAAATATAAATATACTTCAATTATTTTAAATATATCCTCTTTATTTTTCTATTTCTCGTTTCTGGGCCCGTCAAGTATCTTATTGCCACTACTCACAGGGTCTTAATTTCGACGAGTGATTTGCTAAATATTCGCCCACAATATACATCAGTTCAATTAGATTTTATTCCTAATCAGACTTCACCAAGATACTTTGATCGGCGCTAATCTGATCAACTAATCGGCAAGTTGTAAACCTTCCTTTCGATTTGAGACTAACAATTATTTATGGAGTAAACATGTATTATTACCTTCTTTATTTGAGTTAAAAGATTATTGCCAACTACGAAACTGGGCGCAATTACTTACAGTTAATTTAGGCAATACGTAGAGTACTAATTTGATAGTATTGACATTTTCTTTTAACAGTTTTTGAAAAGTTGTCTCATGATTAAGGATAAATAAGATTAACTAAACGTAACTTTGAAATTCTCTTTATAAACAAAACTTGGCTGTTTTTTATTGCCTGCTTATTTATTTACAATACATTTAATCCGTTCCAAAGTTGACTTAGAGCAAGTTAAGATTTACTTTATTCTAAGGTTTGTTTAAATTTAACCCGCCATAATGCTTGTTTGTAATTGGTCCAACCGCAGGCAAGTTTACTCCACTAAATTATGAACGTTTGACACCAATGACATTTACGAAATTTTAAAATTCAAAATTTATATCGACGATTTTTTGTGTTTTCTGCGTTACTCCCTTAATTTTTAGATTTTTTGTTTACATTTGTATAAGAAACATTTATTTTCAGAACTATTTAGCGACGTATTAGTGTTATTAAGATAACAATATGGATTCAACGACAAGTACTAGTAGTAATTATCCTTCTCCACCCAAAAAACAGTAGATTTCGGTCATTTATCATAAAATGAAAAACAATGCATTATAAATATGTGCAAACAAATAAAATTGATAATCCTGATATGAAAATAAAAGCCATGGTAGCAAAAATAAAACAGACAACAGGTTAGTTTTGCAGAATAGTTATTGTTAAAATCAAGACTAACTCAAGTAATGTGCTAATTTTAGGTGATTCAAATTTAACTATTTACAGAACAATTAAGGAATATAAGCAGACTGGAATAGTAAGATGTCCTAAAAATATTGGCGGTCGGCCTTCTATACTTGCAACATACGATGAAAGATTTAAAACATCTGTACGACAGATAGTACACAGCTTCTTTTTCAAAAATGAAATGCCCACTTTAAATAAATTTCTAAGTGAAATTAATAACCGCCCAGATCTTTCAAATATGGATTATTATTATATAAATTCTTAAATCAAATCAATTTTAAGTAAGTAAATATGCGTTAGCCACAATTATATAGTAAATAAAACGTACAAATGTCTGAGTTTGGGAATCAATTAGAAAATAAAGAGTTTTATTCTAATTAGACCAGGTCGGATCTATTTTGAAGTGGATGTGAAAGGTGGCATTCGGATTTTTGCAGAAAAAGTTACGTAATAATAAAAAAAAGTTTAATAATAAAAAATGACATAAACTCTAAAAATTCTTCAACTTCTACATAACAATCCAACATTTTTTTATTGTAATTAGAAAAACAAAAAAATTTGTATTGGAAGTGAATTGGAAAAAATATTATTCAAACATAAACAAAGTTAGGTTAGAATCGACGTGAGAGGTTGATTACAGAATTACTGCAAGGCCTAGATTCAAACAAAAGAGAAGATGTATTTGGTGACTTTTCTAGTAACTTTCTTGGGTGTGAATGTGTCTTTTTAGTTTACTCCTCCTGGTTAAAAAACAAACCATAGTACATATACTTCATCTAATTTACATACCGATGCACGTCATTATGTTCGAGATCAAAGTTGACATAGTTGCCAAAGTATAAAAAAATCCTGACTTCATTTTAAATCAAATAGATCACATAATTATTGCAAAAGTATTACCATCTCTTTACAATGACTATTTAAATTCTCACGTGACATTTTTGAAATAAAACACTAATTTTGTTCTAAAAAGAACAGATTTTATTCGATAGATAAAAATATAAAACAAGAGGTATTCACTTTAAAATTTAAATAATAAAGTACAAAAAGTGTCAACACCGCAACTGTCAAATAAGTGTTACCAATTTATGCCAAAATTTCACCTTCGTTCGATTACAGTTACAGTGTGTTCCGAACAAATGTTCTTCATAAAAACGCTTTATAATGCATTTATACAAATTACATGAAACATATTGTTGTGTATTTCTTTAAGTTAACATTAATAGAAATCTTTAAATATTATTTCTACGCGTATATAATAAAATATGTCTAGTGGCTGTAATGCCAGTGTACTCGGCAAAGTGATTCTAAAAAAGAACACACCTACCGCCCAATGACGTATAATATATAGACTCGGTGAACGCTTTAAAAAGTGTCCAAAACATGAATACCTTTGTTATTGTTTATTGTTTTGATACGAAGATACACGAAGTTCATGATTTCTTACGAAGCATCACGAAGTTGATCTTGTGTTTGAAAACATCATGGACGTATGAAAGCATTTTCTCCATTTTGTGTGACAAGCAAATTTTATTTTAAATTGTTGAGAGTTATTTACTTACTATTTTAGTAAAATACCATACTATTTTATCAAAATAATTATTTCTCTTATAGATGGGACAAAAAGAAATCATAAATATTTAATTTTAATTAAAAAAATACTTATTGTCATTAAAATATAAATGAACACGCCGCTGTTCTAATAAACATACCTTCAACCTTGAGCCGAGATCTTTCGGACACTCGATTCTATAGCGAGAATAGGGGACTGCGTAGTCTATATATTATACGTCATTGCTACCGCCTAAATATTTCGTGTTTGTATCATGTGACGTAACGGGCTATGACGCCGATGACGTGAATCGATATGTAAATTAGGTGAAGTATACATGAATTTGTATAGAGTATTGAACTGTATTAAATATTTATTAAAAATCCTTTGTAAAAGGTATATATTTAGATATACCTTTAGATATATACCTTTTACAAAGGATTTTTAATAAATTTTTTAATATATGGTATACAGCCAACTACAGGAACGTAGATTCCTTGTGGATTTGTATTAAATATAATTTCTTATATAGTGAATTATATAATTTTTTTAGTCTATTATCATTTGTGATATTTTTACACCTTTTAGAGGTTTATTTAGATCTGCATATACATTAAACATATTTTCGTTTTTTTTTTAGAGTTTTATCGGTCTTTCTATTTAGTCTTTTTTTGAGTATTCTGAGCTTCCCATTTGTTTTTTGGAATTCAAATATGGTGCCCATTTTTTATATGAACGATTGTTTTTTTCCTTTTCTTTTTTTATTTTTTGTCGCATATATCTTTAGCATGTTCTGTACTTTCCTAAACGCCCTCGCTTCTTGTCTATAATGATTGAGTTATTCCATTTATTATAGTTTTTTCATTTTTAGTCTTAGTGTTACAATCCTTTTATATACTAAGTTAAATATTATTATGCTGTCTGTGTATGTTTAATTTTTTTACAACCTTATAGGGTAGAACGACGAAAGATGAAGCAGGAGGATAGTCGGTCCGCTAGGTAAACCTGGCTATATTTGGCAACAGGGCAAGTCTATCCTACTCTATTGTATCTCTTAACGTTACACAGTGTTACCAGACCTAGGGAATTTTAAACCAGCTTAGGGAAAAAGGGATTTTCGTTCAATTTTATGAAACATCTAGGGAATTCTTAATATTTGTAAAGTCGACTTTACACTACATGATTTATCATGTGATTTGTCATATGATTTAGCTCAGCGATTGGGGATTCCAAATAAATTTAATGTTTAATTTTAATACTAACGAAACAGGACTACAGCTGAATACCAAAGTCTGTCAAGTTCTAGCAGAAAAAGTTTCAAATAGTGTTCCTTGCGTAAGCCCTGTGGAAAAACGTAAAACGATCCGTTTAATAGCTTGCTGCAGTGCAGAAGGGATTTTCTTGTCCCCATATTGCATTTTTAAGGGCATGTCGGAAAAATCAGCCTACAGTGACATTTTCCTAGAATTGTTAAAAACACACGCCGAGAAAGCCTCCAGGTAAAACCTTATTAATATTAGATGGCCACACATCCATTACTCCTAATAATAGCCAACGTTTAGAAAGAAGACGCCACCTCAAAAAAATTAAACGGTAGCTAAAATACATAAGATATGATTTAGAAAATATAACATTTTTTACAAATAAAAATTATTTTTGTTTTCTTTTAACCTTCTTCCATGACGTACTTGATAAAAAGTATGTAAATAGAACTCTGACTCCCAGATCTACGCCTGTGTTGACTATCAACAATTTGTTGATTTTGGCATACAAACTAACTTATCTTCAATAAAAAGTTCCTCCATATCGGAAGAAAAACCAATTACTCGGTATCAATCATGTTATTAACAAACTCGTTTGATATTTTGACAGTTTTCTCCTCGACAATGAGCAGCTAGTATGATCGTTCGGAAATACTTGTATATAAACTTTTTAATATTAATGGAGTTGTCCTATTTCTACGCGACTTTCTGAACGAGTTATAAAAAATAGTTTATCTAACATTTGGTGATAGTATTTTTTGAGTATTTATTAGTTGTGTTCAAAATGGTTAACTTTACGAAGAGACAGTGGTCAACATTGATCGTTATTGGAATTGCTGATTTTTGTAACGCCGTTTGTGTGTCGCTGCAAGCTCCATTTTATCCACAAGTAGTGAGTATTATTTACCAGTTAATTTACCATAAATAAAATTTTAAAATTATTGGAACCCTCGATGTATTGTTATTTTATATATATTTTAGTATTCAAAAAAGTGTAAGTAATTACTAAAGATCAAACTCTAATTTCAGAGCTATCTGTAAATCTTGATTTCGAGTAGTTTGAATAAGCTTTTTTCTTCAGCATTTTTAAAATAAAAACCATGAAATTAAATGGAGTAAATAACTATAAAATATGGTTCAAAAAAGAGTATTTTTCTCTTCATACCATTCCATCGTAAATTTTTAAAAATAGGCCTCCAAAAAACCATTCCATCGATGTCTATCCTGAGCAGCATACTTTCAATTTGTTTCTACGATTCTTCTTATGTCATCTACACATCTCATCTATGGCCTTCATCATCTACCTTTGTAAGGTCTCCAATGTTTAATTGTGACGTTCCAACGTTTGTTTTTTGTCTAGCAGTACGACCTGTGAAATTAAATTTGAGTTTGGCAATTTTTGGTGATATTCTTAACTTTTGTTTGTGACCTTACCTAGGCATTCTCCTTTTTCATTCTCAGATAGTCGTATACCTAGCATTGCTCTTTTCATTGATCTTTCTGTTGTGGCTAGTTTGTTCATATTTGCCTTTGTTAGGATCTAGTTTTGACATCCATATGTCATGATAGGAAGGATGCACTGGCAGCACACTTTGCGTCTCAAATATTGAGGTATTTTGTGTTTTTTTAGTATCCAACTGAGTTTTCCTACATATATCACTCTTTCTTTTCTAGTGATTTCCCATTTTGGTCCTTTTTGTCAAATTTCAGAATTTGACCTGGATAAATATATTCCTGGACTTGTTGCTATCTCACTGCTATGTATAGTTATACGGCTGGGGTCGCCTGTGTTTGTCATAGTTTTTGTTTTTGTCATTTTCATTTTTAAACCGACGTATTGGAAACTGTCTGCGAGTTTCTTGATGACCGTTGATGCCATACGTTGTTCAATTTGTAGTTTTAAAGACATCTTTTAGAGCTAGATTAAAACGCTTTGAAGATATTACGTCGCCATTTTTAACTCTTTTCTTAATGGAGATATGATTTGTATTTTAATCCAGTTATACTATCATAGTTGCGTTTTCATATATATTATGTATTAGTTGCCTATATCTTAAATCTATTCTACAACATTAAAAGCTTATTCTATAGCCCACATCTTGAGTACTATCAAATGCCTTTTCATAGACAACGAAGGCAAAAAATACAGGTAGTCGGTACTTCTTTGCCTTCTTTATCAGTGTTCTAATGGTCATAAGATGGTCTGATGTACTATATTCTTTGCGAAAGCCAGCCTGTTGAACCGGTTAGTAATTATCTATTTTGTAATTTAATCGATTGTAAATAATTCTTATAACCAGTTTTTATACTTGACTGAGCAACGATACAGGTCTATAATGCTGTAGGTTACATTTTGCTATGTTTGTAGACATCTATTAAAGAGCTCTGCTAGTATAAGGATTGTTACTGTCTTGTTTGTTTTTAAGAGCTCAGCAAATATTCAGTCGAGTCCTGGAACTTTATTATTTTTTGGCTCTGTTAAAGTTCTTTCTATTTTAAATGCCTCTATATTTGGTAGTATCTCTGATCCCACGTGTTTTTTTTTTATTTTGACGTTCTCCTTTGATGATTTATTAGGCTGGCTTTGCGAACTGTGCTTCGTTATTATTGGTGTCTTTAATTTTGATTATTTTTTGGACACTGAGTTTTCCGCTGGCTCTTGCCTTCATTAGTTGTTTAGTTTCAAGTCCGGCTTCGAGAAGGTTTTTATTTACCTTTTTGTTAATGTCGTCAATATGGTCTTGATTATGTGAAGAACCTGATTCGAACTTACCCGCTAAAACCTTTTGGATTTCTCTTTAAGTCATTTTTCTCTCTTCTTTCATGTTTATTAAATATGTATTTTCGCTTTAACTATAGGATTATCATTATCCGAATCCGTAATTTCCAATATTATTTTCGGAATCTTCAATTTTTTGTCCAATTTTGGCGTCTTCCAATAATATTATTATAGATTCCTTGTTGTCATCTATAGTTTTTCAAGGTCTTCCTGAAAAGTATTAACTTTATCCTCAATACTTATTAATTGAAGCATAAACATACACAATCTTTATTCTGGGTTATGAATTTAGTTTTAAAATCATGCATGTTATCCTATGCGAAATGCTATGAATTATTTGCACTTGTGAATTTCTTTTCTTGTTAAATACTAAACCTACTCCATCGTATACATAATCTTCCTTGCCTTTATAGTAGTTACCTGAATGTAAGTTTACCTCTTATTTTAAATTCTGATAGTGCTATTATGTTCCAATTCATGTTCCTCAATTCCTCTTCTATTTCGTAAAGTTTTTCATGTTTTGCCTTGAAACCTATGTTGTATGTTGCTATATAAAGTTGTTTGTTGTGGTTCTTTTTCTTCTTCAATATCGACTTGCCACAAAAGAGTCAGTTACAAATATTTGGCAGAAATAAGAAATATGACCACAACCAAAAATTTAAACCTTCTTTCTTAAATCATTGTACTTTTTTAAAATACTGACTCTATCTTAAATATTATTGACAGTTTATTAAAAAACACTTTATTAAAATATGATAGGTAGTTTTCGTTTTATTACAGTAGTTTTATTGCACTAACGTTTTTCTGCAAAAAAATTGATAACTTCCTGGATTGTTAGTATGTCGAAGTCTTGTTTGAGATCATTAAATCCGAACCATGAGGCACAAAAAAAGGCGACAGGATCTTATTTTGAAATATAAGTATTACTTCTTTCTATTCTATTCTAATCCTAAAAGTTTAAATAAAATATTATATAATATTTGTGTACTTCACTACATGTTGACTGATAAGATAAATAAATCTGCCACTTTTGAGCCACTGAATTATTTTGTATTTTTTGCACTCAATACTGGATGCAAAATATTGCTACGGGTGCAATGGTATTTTGACTGCTAAGATGGGTGTAATTATATTTTCTTTAATCCTTTTACGGTCTCTCTTCGTTTCTAGTACTTCCAGACAGTCTTGAAAAATATAGTTGACATATTGGGGCCAAGTGCTCCTTGACTTGTGCATGTCCAATAATAAAACTTGTTATGAGTTAATTCTGACCGGAGTTGCAGAGCCATATTAGCACATATTTGTTAAGTCTATATTTTTCCTTGTGCTTTACCAGGTATACTTTCCCAGTGTTAATTATATGGTGTTCAGACCCAAGCTCTAATTCGGTCACGGACCACCCTGTACTAATGTATACTGTTATTTTTACGGCTTTCCAGAGTCTCTTGGACTATCTGTCCATATATTGATTTGCTTTCATTCCAGAAATTTGCTAGATGTCCATCTTGAAAGGTAATATATTCAGTATTTATTTGGGTACCATATGGTTAGAAGTCACCATCAATAATCATCACCCAATTTCGTTTATAATGGTGCTATGTTTTGGTCTTAAAATTATGTTAATCAGTTTTACCCTCATATTCTCGATAACTTATAACGATCTGCAAAAAGTGAGAACTAGTTTGATTTCTTTCCAGTAGGACTTTGGCAATCAGGTCTTACACCTAGCTTAATTTGATGATGGCATCTTTTTACTGTTCTTTGATCATTATACAACTGATTCACCTGATATTTTTGGTTGTAACTATGGTATTAAGTTATAAGTTATAACAATAAAATAAAATTTATTATAATATCTTATTACTACAGCTGTTTCGACATAGTGCCTTTCTCAATTGATTTATTGTTGGTATGTGTTTACACTTTAAAGTCTTTAACTGAATATGTCTAGGGGGGAAAATTGATTGTCACAAGTTGGTCATTCCAAATTATCTCTGTATTTTTTAATTTGTTAATTTCCTTAGATTATTATAAACACATCTTAAAGCCTTTATTTTGGATGTAAAGAATTTGAAATTCGTCATTAAAAGAATGATTATGGTCTAAAAGGTGAAGTGCGTACGTTGAATCTGTTTTTCGAGTATTGAAAGCCCTTTTATATTCTGCTATTTGTTTGGTAAAAGTTTACCAGTTTGACCGATGTAAGTTTTTAGTCAATCGCCACATTTTTTATACACCACTGTGTAATTGGCTGTTCTTTTGTCTCTTGTTGTTTTTAGTATATTTGCCTAAGTTGTTGTTTGTTCTAAAAGCTGGTGTTATACGTTTTTTTATGTCCAAAAACTTACTACTACTGGAATCGCACCTAAGTTAGTTGACATAACTAACAATGCAACACGTAAGCTGGTGCGTTAGAATTCAAGAAGAAAACTCGTACGTTCTGTAATATTAATAAAGTTTTAAGTAAGGGAGACGCGCTAGTGTGCCTCCTCTTTAATATTGCCTTGAAAAAGGCAGTCTAGGAATAATAAAAACGATTGAAAATATCTACCAAAACAAGACAATATAAGTAAAAGTAGAAAAAAAACCAACTGACCCTATTGATGCTAGCAATGGGATACGACAAGGAGATTCCCCGAGTCCTCTATTGTTCAACCTGATTATAAATGAAAGAATAAAAAAAGAACTAAAAAAGATACCAAATGGGATAAAAACAACTTAAAATGATCTACTGTACAGAAGACTCAATACTACTCTCTCAAAGTGAAGATGATTTACAACGTATGCTGCACCAATTTAATATAACCACCCAAAAAGTTAACATGTTTATTTCCCCAACAAAGGCAAAATACATGGTTATAACAGCAAATTTACGAAGATATAAATTGGAGCTGAAAGGTCAGATAATAGAACAATTAATAAAATTTAAATATTTAGGCATCACGTTATCTAGCTACGGAAAGCTCGAAACAGAAGTGGAAGATCAACGCAATGGAGCAAACAGAGCCGTAGATTGCCATATGAAACGATATGGAGAAATAAAAATATCAGGAAAGAAATTAAAGGCAGAATTTAAGAAACAGTCATTGGACGAATAATGATATACGAGGCAGAAACACGACCTTACTCAGAGAGTACGAAAAAACACAGAGATGAAAACACTTAGAAAAATTGATGGTAAACCAATATGGGACAGATCTAGATGTACAGATATGCGACGTAGATGCAAGGTGGAGAACATCAAGGATTGCGTAATAAATAGAAGAGTGGAATAGAAGGATCATATAAGCCTAATGACAACCAGTAGAGTAGTAGACGACAAGAGACCGTTTCCCAATAGGATTAGTTGGAACGACCAAGAAAACGATGGAACGACAACTTACTGAAGGCATATTGAGAAACAGAGTCATGTCTATATAAAAAGAAGAAGAAGAAGAAGATGATGATGAAGAATAAAAATCAGTCACGCAGATAAATATTAGATTAAACGGAACTATCTTTAATAGAACGTAAACGTACAGTAAAGATCAAATTACCACATCTTAATAAGACCGGTTTTCATATATGAAGCTGACACATGGACTTTGAATTATATCAGCTATACACAGATCCAAATATTGTGAAATTTATTAAGGTGTAGAGATTTAGATGAGCTGAACACATTGTTGGTATGTCAGATAATAAGAACATGTAGAGATTCACATTATCAAACATAGAGGGTAGAAAAAGTAGAGGATGACCACGTAAAAGATGGATTGATAATGTGAAAGAAGACCTTAAGATTCTAAGGGTCAGAAGATGAAGGGGGTTACTAGAAATCGATGAGAGTGTCGACTTCTCTGCGAACAGGACAAGATCCACAAAAGATTGTTGAGCCAATTATAATGATAATAATGATAAAATGTTTTGATTTAAACATCCTTTGGTTATTCCTTTTACCTGCCGATTCCAAGCAAGTCTTAAGTCTGATCTTACATCAAGGTAATTTACATTATTCGCCGGATTTAGATCTATACATTTAAGTTTATAGAACCTAGGCCCCCTAAGTTCCTTCTTTTGATAAAAAGTTTTACGACAAATTTCATTATATCTGCGTAAAAAGTAGCAACATCCAGTAATTACTGTCAATTATTGTTCTTAAGTGTATTTGGGATATTTACCTCTTGTACGATATTTAAATGATGACTTGATTGATGATTTTCTTTACTTCCAACAATTTCATACAAAGTTCTAAATATTCAAGCTAATTTTCACTATGATGCAGCAACTAAGTCTTACGAAATTAGAAAAAGCATCTATTTATGTTTCCAAAGTCACCAAAAATGTATTTCTTATTTTTTATTTCCAGGCTGAAAGTAAGCATTGCACAGCGACAGAGTATGGATTGGTGTTTGGAATTTTTGAGTTTGTTGTGTTCTTGATTAGTCCTATATATGGAGCAAACCTGAATAGAATAGGACCTAAACTTATGTTTAATGTTGGAGGCTACACAATTGGTGTATGTGCCATATTGTTTGGGTAAGTATTATTATTTACATTATATTTATTAAAATTATTTCAAACGATCAATATGTTTGACCTATATATGCGTATGCAGCTTTTATTTACTTTACAGTATCGTTTATTTTTAAATAAATAATTAATGTTTGAACTGAGATTATGTTCTAATAAAAAATCCTTTGTTCTATTCCATTTTTATGCTTGACCAACTATCTATGCAACAAAGAATTTGATACATAATTTAGGTGATAATTTGAAACATTTGACAAATCCACGTAAAATTATAACGTAAAGATCACATGAATTATTTACTGGAATATCACAGGAATAAGATATTTTTATGTGAGAGTTGGTCGTGAGATCTTTTGTATCAACATGAATGTAGCCACTAAATATGAGGGTAAAAACCCGTTAAAAATTAATTGTTTAAATTTAATTTACATTGTTTCTTATGCAATATTAAGATGTTAAAGTGGCCGTTGGATTTGGTAACATGGCGACATATGGCTCCACGTGAAGTTGCTAGTCCTGAGACGATATGTCTACGAGGAATTTATAAAAGCAACTGTCTAAAGTTTCTTTCATAAAGTTAGTCCTCGTAGACATACCGTCTCAGGACTAGCAACTTCACGCGGAGTCATATGTCGCCATGTTACCAAATCCAACGGTAACTTTAACATGTTAATATTGCATAAGAAAAAATGTAAATTAAATTTAAACAATTAATTTTTAACGGGTTTTTACCCTCATATTTAGTGGCTACATTCATGTATTAACTAGACACTGATGATAGAATATGAATTCCGAAAACGTTTTGTCGTTTGTTTAACATAGCGCGATTGTTTATATATATATATGGTACCTTCTGGTAAGACTAAACTAGGTGATAGTCCTAATGAACTTCCCTATGAAAATATGATTTTGCCAATGTATGGTTCTAGATGTATTGTTATGACCATTTTTCTTTACTTTTGAACCTTATTAAATAGTTCTAAGCCTTCAAAGGTTTTTCTGCAGCATGCTTTTGCCAATAAGTTTGTTAGTTTAGTTTTTTCACGTTCCATAATCCTGCAACCCCTCATAAGAAACATTTTATTGTCTCCTGCCAAATTAGTAAAACGATCCTTCTAATTTCTTATCTTAGAAAAATAGGGAGTTGGTTTAATATAGTCAATTGTTTAAATAGAAACTTTAAAAGATATTTACATCACAATACAAGGATTGTAAAATCGAAATGTTGATCTTTCACCACTGCGAAATAAAAAGTGCTTGGTCTCTAATTAAAAAAAAATATGATAAGTGTGAAGTGATAGAGTAACCTTCTAGTCTGCCTGTCGTAACATTGTTTTTCCAATTGTTTACTTTATTCTGAAAACAAATAAATGTGAAAGAACGTCTAAAACATAATTAACGATTATTGCGAAAAAATAGTATAAACTAAGACAAAAGGAGTAATGACACATTCGCCAAAAATAATAAAAAAAAAGGTTATAATTAGACGAAAAGCAACTAACTACATGTTTTGACTTATTAATCTACATCCAAATTAGAATAAGTAAATTGAGTTAAGAAACCATCCAAGAGAGAGGCGTAAACACAAACAAAAATCAGAGTCGAAGGACCAAATACGGAATTCATAAAATATAAGAAAACGATAAAATTGAGGAAGCTGGTAAAAACTTAAAAATAACATAATTAATGCAGCAACAGAATCACTTGGAGAGAGAAAACTAATAAACACTAACATATTATCAAAACAGAAATCCCCATGGTTTAGAGAGGAAGAAAAGACAAAATGAAAAGAAAAGAAGAAAGCCGTTTTACAATAGAGAACACAACAAACACAATAGGCATACAACCACTATGAATATATCATAAATAAAACGAATACTTTAGTTAGACAAGTAAAAAGGAAAAGAAAAAGCGAAAAAGGTTTCGATCTCTAAGTATCTGTCAAAATTTTTGAAATAGATGAATAACTTAAAAAATATGAAGTTTCGACCTATAATACATTATTTAAATTTTATTGAGAATCTTACACAGAATCTAAAAATGCAGTAATATACAGGGTATTCTATATAATAGCAAAGTTGCTGCTTAACTCTGGTTTAACCGGAAGTGGAATGTTTGTTAAAATAATATTTGTTTTTAATTTGTCATAACTCAATATATAAACCAATTTTTATAATTATCATGTAATTAGTTTCCGATATATAGATAGCGAAAGCTCGTCGCGAAACACCCTGTATACCTTTAATATTTTACCTATCCCTCATATATTGTATCAACATGGTGCATATTTTCATCATACTCTTCGGATACGATATTCATTTCTTTTTTAATTTTTCAGATTATTGGACAAAATTGAAGACAGGTATCCTTTTATTATACTCAGTTTTATAATAAGGATATTAGCAGCATTAGGAAATACAGCTTTAATACCTTTAATATTTTACCTATCCCTCATATATTGTATCAACATGGTGCATATTTTCATCATACTCTTCGGATACGATATTCATTTCTTTTTTAATTTTTCAGATTATTGGACAAAATTGAAGACAGGTATCCTTTTATTATACTCAGTTTTATAATAAGGATATTAGCAGCATTAGGAAATGCAGCGTTTTTGACAGCTAGCTTTGCTATTATAGCTAAGGAATTTCCAGAAAACGTAGCAACTACTTTTGTAAGTATTTCATTATGTTTAAACGTATTATCACTAAGTTTATATTTTAAATGCTAATATATTTTTAATAACATACACAGTCCCTTGGTGTCATATTAAGGATATATGAGAGGGATAACACACATATTCAAAATTGAATAAAATATGTTTTAACGTATGGGTTGTATTGTGGATTGAGAAATATAACACTAAAATATAAACTTTAAAATATTTTTTCGTACTGTTTGGCTTAAAATTTTAATAACAAGTCGAAGCCTCCCCGAAGTTAGTAAATTTCTCAAATCTCCGAATCATTTGTGATTGAAGATTTCAAAATTGTCATCATAGACATTTCCACACCTCGACTTTGTTGTATACTCTATATCTTAGGTTAGTCCAAAAGGTCAAGGCTTCTCAGAAACCTTATTATATGTTTAGGAGATACGTTTTTACATTGACCACTTCTAAAAAGGTATATTCTAGATAGTCATGGCATTGGCGAACAATTTCCCTGCTGTTACAGATAATATGTTAAGCTGTATCTTCCGCATTTTCGCGTAATATGTGTTTTACTTTATCTAGTGTAACTAGCTAGTATAAGACCACCTATGAATATACCTTTTTCCTTTACCCTCTCGGATTTTTGATAGAGGTGGTGAGCTTTTTGGTATAGGTCTCGGCTATTTGGAGTGGTGAAGTTTGATAAAAGTAATAGTAACTTATTTGTTAATATCATAGTTATTTTGTTATTCTTCGACAGTTGCTGATTGCAGTTCCAAGCTGTTTCGGACTTATGAGTTTAGACTTAGACTGTACAGTGCATCTTGCCTAAAAAGTAGGCAATAAATATTTTGGTTAAAACATATTTTATAGCAATTTATTGCTGGCATCTCTACTTAAAGTATCTCCAAAGCATAAACCGAATAAGTTGATGAATGTCTTTTTGGATAACATAAGTCCTAAATAACATCAACTGTATGCCTTAAGAAACGCAGATTTATTATTAATTCGGGAAGCCAATCCAATATTCTATTTGTTACGTCAATACATTGTCAATAAGTAAAAGATCAGGAAAGATCAGTAACATGAGTAACTACTTCTAGAATATTATGGACGTAGTCCTAAGAAATCATATTTTTTAAAGAATATTGCTGAAAATCTGGTTCAATACGCATTACCACCACATACCATAACTCTATGTCATGGTCGAACTATTTTTCATCTAATATAGTCTCATAAAATCGAGACACCCATACATATTCAGGTTAAAGGTAAGATAAGATACGGTTGATAAGACTGGAAACCAAAAAGACCTAAAAACATAAGTTATACCTCGAGGAAATAAGATTTTCAAAAAAATCCGAATTTTTAAAAACAATTAGATCTTATTAAAATAATTTCATTCACATTTAACTTACACAACAAAATACAATAGAACCAATATGTTGCTTAAGTTGAATATAGTGAAATTACGGCCAACGAAAATATAGCATCCCTGAAACTTTTGTCTACAGAGCCGTAATCTATGATTCAAAGATATGGCAAATTACAGAAAGATTAGACAGATAAGCAGACCTAGGAATAAATAAAAACTAAATCCACAAGGAAAAATTCCTGTAGCTGGCTGTATACCACTTATAACAAAAAGAGGTTAATCTTTGTAAATGGGTATATTTATTTAAAAAACCCTTAAAAAGGCCACATCAATAAAACAAACGTTTTCGGACCACACAGTCCATCATCAGGTTTTTAAAATCGGAAAATGCCTAAAAATAAGTATAAACCATTTAGTTAAAACAAACGAGATTGTGAAATTTTGACTAAGGTTGAAAAGCAATAGATGGTTATACTTACTAGGTCACAATGCCTGAGCCACCAAAATACTAGGGTAAAAACCCTTTAAATTACATTTAGTTATGAAAGATTCTTCAGTCATTTCCTTTACTTTTATTCTCATTAGTCTCTGAGGAACCCAGCCTCTTCAATTTTAAATTCAATCACATAGGTTACTACTTTAATTTCATCAGCCTGTAGATTTCCATCTTACTAAACTTAATTTTATTAATTTTTCACCATAGGAGCAGTCTTAAATAAAGTCATTTAAATATGAGGTCTGATATTAGCTTTAAATATTTGTCATTTAATTTTTACCTTGTCCTAGATGTGTTAAACATAAAAGGATAAATTTCATATATATAAGCTAACCCAACATTAAATACACTTTAGACCACATTCCATACGACGAAAAGCAACATAAGTTACCTAAGGCACAGGTAATTCTATTAATCATGACTATAAAATCATCATTGATTTGACATCTTTTATACCCTAAATTAATAAATAAAAAAGTTTTTAAATCCCAACACCAAGATTGTTGTTAATTTTTAAAATCATCAAAACTTGTTGAATCTTTTGGCTGTAGTAATACTATGTACAACTATTATAGTTTTTGTTGCATTGACATTCTGTTATCTTCATCCTTCAAAAGTATCTTGTCAATCAGTTCCCAGCTGTTCTCCGAGTGTAGAGGTTCTCTCTCACCGGCTCTGGAACCCGATTGAGCCATGTGTTACCTCTAGTCAAATTTAATTTAATACTGAACATCACAGTTATTTTACAACACAATGTACAATCTTTCATAACTAAATGTAATTTAAAGGGTTTTTACCCTAGTATTTTGGTGGCTCAGGCATTGTGACCTAGTAAGTATAACCATCTATTGCTTTTCAACCTTAGTCAAAATTTCACAATCTCGTTTGTTTTAACTAAATGGTTTATACTTATTTTTAGGCATTTTTCGATTTTAAAAACCTGATGATGGACTGTGTGGTCCGAAAACGTTTGTTTTAGTGATGTGGCCCTTTTAAGGGTTTTTTAAATAAATATACCCATTTACAAAGATTAACCTCTTTTTTTTTAAATAAAAACTCTATTGAGTACTAAAGTACTCTGCGTGGAATAATTTCTCTGCAAGAAATTTTTCTATGTCCCACACTTTTTCAACCAATTATCATTTTATGCATTATAAACTATAGGAACTCATATCTTGTGTCTCCAGAGACGTCGCTAAGCAACTTAAGTTTTTTCTTCTTTATAGTGATTACATCTGTAACTTTTGTTCGTCTTCTTATATATAGGTACACTATATACTTTTATATACACTAATGTATTTTGTATGTAGGTATATATGTACATCGCTGAGCCTCTAAACTAGAGGAGAAAATCAATCTCTAAGTATATTATTCTCAAAACATATTGTTCAACGCCTTTGTTCTTCGGGCATCACCAGTATCTCTATTATACTGTTCCCTTTACTCTTTATTTAACCATTAATTTCTAACTTAAACTATTGTGGATTGCTATCAATCTTACAGCTCTATAATTATATCCCGCTCCAATTTAATTATTGCATCTAGTGACAAGACCTGCAATTAGCAGGTTTTGTAGTTCCAACAAGCCAGCTAAATTTCTATCAGTATATACCTTATCACATTCGTTATATTTTGCTGTGTATTTTATTTCTAATTTCAACCAATATATAAACAAATAATTATAAAAATTTATATCATCTAAATTGTTATCACTAGCATTTTGATGATTTAGAAAATACAACATATTTTTAATAAATAAATTAAATATTCATCTCGATATAAAAAAATAAAATATTAAATTTATCTCAGCTTACTACTATTTTTGTCTTACGCAGATAAATATTTTTCTTGAATTTTGTATCATTGACCTACAGCAATCTTGATGAAAGACGCAAAAATTCCTCGTGAATTTTTTTTACCTCATGATAAGAATTTAAATATTTTGACTAAATTAATTTTTATTTATGGCTATCATTATAGTATAAATAACATTTAGAATTAAAAGTATACTCATGGCAAATAAACGTATGGTATAAAATTTTACTCTGCCGAATATGTACCTTTAAATATATATATATATATATATATATATATATATATATATATATATATATATATATATATATATAAAGATATATATATATATATATATATATGTATGTATATATATACATGTATATATATATATATATATATATGTATATATATATATATATATATATATATATATATACATGAATATATATATATATATATATATATATATATATGTATATATATATATATATATATAATTTCCCTCAGTAGATACCGTGTATACGAAAATAATTTCAAAATTAGTGCACTTGTATTGCATAATGCGGTAGAACTCCGTCTTGTTAGAAACATAAAAGACTATCTTAATTATCTAGATATTTCTAGGTTATCAATATTATTGCAAAGATCGACCAAAATAAAGCCCGATTATGCCTAATTAAGCAGGATACTTATGGTTAAGGGTATCGTTAAAACAAAAAATAGCCGTTTTCTAACAAACACTTTGTCCCCCCATCAACAACACGACCACTTCCCGCACACAGATTCCCAGACCTTCAACAATTCATATACATGTCACACAACCCCCAAACATATAGCGTCTCGTCCAAACATACTTCAATACATACATAATACTATCCCTATTTCGACATTACGTATTTTTATCTTATCAGCCCCAGAACAATTCCCGCAAAGGCGGTATTATCTTCATATCCACAGACACATCATTACCTTTTAATGTAGCTCAATTCCCCATTTACGACTCAGGTTACTCAATTCTCATCCACCTGTATTCTCCCCACACCCCTATCTCCCATCCTTAATGACTACCAAGAGCATCCCGTTGCTCACGATGCCGACAGCCGATACACATACTCACGCTTCTCTCGTGTGTCCATCACCATTAATGACCACGAGATTCAAACTATTAAGGATTTTAAAAACGTAGTGAAATATTCTTAGATGAATCTAAAGACACCACCAACCATGAGATATACAAAAAGAGCTATACAAAAAGAGCTCAAAATCCATACCGAGGGCAAGCAAGCACCTGACTTTAGCCAATCGATGGGATGACGAAACCCACATCCCAACCCCTCTCAAAAGCCCCTACAC